TTACTAGACCAGGCAGCCTCTCTGCAACATCCCTGATACATGCCCTGGTAGGCAACACACCTCCCTTGAGACTGGGTCAGGCTGACAGATGGGTGCCTCTGTGCCTTTCAAAGTAGAGTCCCCTACTACTATGACCTACTGCTTTTTCATGGCAGCACCAGCAGTGATCCTCAAATTGACAGTAAATATAACTATATAGCAAAGTTATTTTACATATCTAACAAAAGTGGCTAATAACATATTTATTTAGATGCTTCAATAAATTATCATTAAAATGTGTGATTCTAGCATTTGATTTAAACCATTATACCCTGAACTGGAAGACAGAGTCAACTACTTAGTTATAATTTTAGGAATATTAACTATGCCACCCATTTTCAAATTACAAAACAAAACAGACTTTTATTTTATGAGTATGGACAGCTAAGGATACCAAAAATCATAGTCTTACCCAGCTGAAATGATTTTTAACATCTGCTCCAGGCTGCAAGTAAACTATACACGTTGATAAAACAAATCCATTTCTTAACACTCTCTGCATCAAGGAGTATTTTTTTCCAGACTAGCCCACATCAGGATAAGAAAACTCTCTCTCAGACTTCCACAGTTTTCAACAATTTTTGTAGGTTTGAAATGCATAATCTGTGCTCCCTTCATTTTTTTCTACAGCCAGCATTTTTGAAAGCTGGTTTGCTTTAAATTACTTCTGTGTCTCAGTTTGTTTTCCTCTTTTTCTAAAAATACTATTCCCGTTTTTCTCACCCCTCATTTACAAAATCTGACTCACCATCTTTGCACTCACTCATAACACAGCATGACAAAGAACTGCCAGCAGGAAACAAGGATTAAGGGCTTGCCTTTTCTCAAGTTAGCCAGAAGTGAATATTTCATTCTCTCACACCCAAAAAAACACCCCCTAAACATTTACTATACATTTTCCAAGGACACCAGAACATTTCATCAGGTATTTTAGACAACTATAAATATCTTGTGTTTTCCAAAACCAGTGGATATTTCTTCGCCTAAAGATATTCTGGGCTCTTGGTTAACTCTATATTCAGAAATGGTTCAAAGAACACTTTTGATTCCCTCTTTCAAAAAAGGAAGACTTATTGTAGAGCAAATGTTTGCCAAAGACTCTATATTTAAGTGAAAATTGGGTTTGAGTGCAAGAATTCATCTTAATTTAACTCAGTGATTTGGGTTTCAGGGGATAGTTTTGAAAGCTTCTTTTATATTTGCATAAAGAAGCTGGGCCAAATTTATAAACCTCGTGGCTTAGAAAGGCAAATATAAAGGTGAGCAGTTGAGACAGAAAATGCCTTTCTCTGGGAATCTAAAGAACACTTAAAGTTTGACTCATAGACCTCATAATAATGCGGTAACTTCAATTAAACCTCACCCTCTATAGCACAAGGGTGACACTGCAGCTAACACTGCACATGGTCTGGTACTACTGACAAAGTTGCTATATGCAGATTAGTTAACTGGGTAAAGTCCCTGTGATAGCAGTGAACCACAGGGGTTTATGTAGGCTGAGTAGCATCATGTAATATCACACAGCAAAACAGCTCAATACATTCATGCACTTCTCCATTTCATTTCAACAAGAACAAATGACTCCAGACTTTGGAAGATGCAAAACCAGTAATAAAAGAACAAATCTCAAAGATATTTTCACAATAGTGCCACTTACCTGACAGCTTTCTGTGTAAAAAAAAAATAGCTATTTATTAAAATTCCACAGCAGGGAGTTTGGGGTATTTGCAATCTTTGCAAACAGAACTCATTTATGTTTTACAGAATGAAATCTAAAGAAATTCTCTAGTGAATCCACTGGGCTTGGCTGGGAATACAGAATTGACCTAACCGAGTATCTTTCTGGAGTAGAACTAAAGATGGCTTCTGAAATTGAACTGGTGTCAAAAAGCCAGTTCCTGATAGCCTGTAAGTCTTTCCTTGCAAAATCTGATAATTCTCCTGTCACTTTTTTAAGCAGCTTTTGAATATAGTTTCAAACTGCTTCTTGAGCATAAGGAGCAAGGTTCAGTTTGTAATATCTGGATATGCACTTCCCCATATCCCAAATGCCTTTACAACTTGAATCTCCATTACTTCTTACAGGAATTCTCTACACCAGAATAAGAGAGGTGCCTTGACAGAGTTTGGGGGACAATTAGGCACTTGAATACCTTGCACTAGTGCTATTAAGATCTTTGACTTCCTAAGTGGTGAGCTTACACAGAATAACACTGCCACTTTATCACTTAGCAGCACCTGCAATGCTGTAACTGATGATATCTGTTACCAAAAATAACATTCACACAACAAGCCATGAAGAGGAAATGTTTCTACACCACATTTCTGACAATCCAATCATGCTTTTGAATATTTCCCAACCTTGGAACCATGTTTTACTGCACAAGCCTCCTTCTGTTTGGTGTTATCACCCTGTGTCATTCCAGAAGTCATAGCTGATCTAGTGTGCTATTTGATTGGTGACACAGGGTGCTTCTGCGCAAACCCTTAAGTTGGGCTACTGCAGTTTACCAGTGTTCCCAGAGATCTTTAGCATGCAAAATTACTTCTTTTCCTGACGTGTCATGGGGCAGTTGAATACTCAGGCTACTGCTGCTGGTCCAGCTGGAACGTGCTCCATATCCGCAGCTTCCCTGAGATCCAAGACTGATAACAGAGACACATCTCAGCAGCACAGCATTATTTTTTTTTTCCATTCTCAACAGTCAAGTTTCAACCTCAGCTGGCTCAGACACCCACACCTAACCCACAGTATTAGGATGCTAGCAGGCTTGAAAACAGAATCAGAATAGCAACCTTGCATTTTCCCCTCATTTCATAGTTCTCACAGATGGACACACTTCATTTGCTTACCCAACAGGTCATCTTAATCCAGGAAGCATTCAGTCATCCCTGCTTCAGCTTTGAGATACAGAAGCTTGACAAGTTGTTTGGTTTAGTTTATTATTTATTTACTCTATGAGCTAACGAATTCTCCAAGTGGTCGTTACAGCATCTTATTACTAGAGGTACACAGAAGTAGTATATGTATAAACACAACTTTTTGTATGTATCATTGGACCATAGGCAGCTTTGAAATGAGTCCTTCTTTTCAAATGAAATGCCAGCGTTACATTGTTAACAAAAAAGAAAATCACTTTCCTTTTTCTAACTTTTCTTGGTTTTGCAGAGTTAATATATTAGGATGAAGAAAGAGAAACATTTCTCTAGGTAGCTAGTAGGTTGTGGGACAATAAATTATGAAAATATTAGCCTAAGGAAATAATATTTAGATCGCAAGCTGAAAAGATGCTTTAATTTCCTATACCCAGGGATAATACTGCCACTCCTCATTTTTGGACAGAAAAAAAAAAGAAACATATTACTGTTCAGATTAGAAGGAAAAAAGGACTCTTCCAAAGTCAATATGCATTTCAGTTCTAGCCATATCAAATAATAGTTAGTGATTTATTGTCAGTTTGATTTATGGCATGAGCAACATTCTGCCAAATTACCAGTTCCTTGAACTCTACTTTCCATTCTTCTCTTCCATGGTTCAAAGGGACATGTAGCTCAAAGGAAGTGATATGGTGCCTAAAGGGACCTGGTGTAAAAGAAACCAGGAGATAGGAGAGAGAAATCTGCTAAAGAAGAAAAAATGTAGCTTGGCAGGAAATGCCTGGAAAATGTGAAGCAAGGGAAGGCTGAATCAGAGTGGAATCCAAGGCTGCATTTATGAAATCAAGCCTAAATTACGGTGTAATGTTGTATCTTCCAAACCAAAGGAACTGCAGCCAAGGAGACCTGTTCAAAATAACCTTGTTGCTCTGTTTGTGCCTTCCTCTCCTGAATCACCTACTATCCTGAGCTAGTGGGTAACCTACGTATTAGACATACACTCATGCATTGTAATTTAGAGCTGTAGTTACATTCCTTTGAAGATTTATCACTGTTTGCTGTGACAAGGATCTGCAATTAAAATCCACGTCAACAAGCAGAAGTCAAATGCAAGGATAAGGTCACATAGACAGAGGAAAACATCTGTTCCGTAGACTTTACAGAGCACAATGGCACAATGTCTTGGAGAAGCAACTGTCTATTTCACTTTAATTTTAGAAAATCAAAGAAGTAGCAGTGACTGAAGAGATGTAGCATGATTTCTAACACAGAGGTGAGAAAGAAGAAATTGTGTCTAAGGCATCACTTAAGACAACACTTTGCCTGAAGCACATGCTTCCGTTTCACAAACTTAACTGATATGAGAAAGTATTTAAAAGTAAATAAATGTTTACATGGTGTTCTGAATCTAAGCATATCCAAGCTGATAAACAAGGACCATGTTATCAATATTTAAATCTTGATAAATCCTATAATCAAGATGCTGGGGGTCCTAATTAAAAGTAAATGGTGGGGTTCTATTGTAAGTAGTTTTAGTTCACCTTCATGTAGCAGTCAGCAATAGATTGCCATCAAGTCTGTTTTCTACCTGCACAAGCACCTTTTCATCGTTACGCTGTATGCAGTCAGCAGTGGGGTTATGAGGACACTTGAGGTGTAAGGGGCATGCTACTGCAAGAGTGAAGAAAGACAGCAGAAGTCAATCAGCACAAGTGACAAATCATGTAGTGACTCCACATCAACAGCAGCAGATTGTGAACCCAAAGTCAGGAAAAAGGCCAGATACAGCTCTCTGTGAAAAGCTAAAAGCCCAGTAAAGACTTGCTCATGGTTTGGTTGGAGTTGAACAAACAGCATTCCCTGGTAGACAATGTAAACTGGCAAAGGACCCAAGAAAATCTCCAGTAGTATCATCTGCCTTTCCTTGAGCTTTACAAATGGGTTTTCAACTTCCTCACTGTACGTAAAATTTACAACCCTAACAGCTTTGTCCCTCTTACCCTTCCTTTTTTTCTTGCTAGTGAGGAATGAGTTGTCTGTCTCCTCTTTCAGTTTTTGTTCACTCATACCCTTCTTGCAACATAATTTGGCAATGATTTATTGTGAGATGGTATGCCAAACAGGTGTCTGTTTTCTGGCTCCCTCTGCAAACTTAGTTCCAGAGACCAGATGGTAATAGTTAGCTCCCTTCTGCACCTGCATGGCTGAGAGCAGATCTGAAGAACCTCTTCTGGATGTTGAGTAGCTCAGAGCAATATTTAGATGACTTTGTAGTTAACACATAAGTAGCCAACTGTATCCAGCTTGGCACTGCCACTGTGGTGATCATCAGTGGAGCTGAAATTAAGACAGAAAATGTTTTTGGGAAACTAAGATAAGGCAGGATGATTTGGCTCATCATCAGCCAAAAAAACACCTCAGGAGAACCAGCATGAATGGACAATATCCACCCACGTATTTTCTGCCATGATTCAGGAATTCGTGCAGTAATGACATGAATACACTCATTTACTGTATTTCAGACCACATCCAGCTCTCAGGATTCAGCTAAGTGTTTGGGGAGTTCTTAATTAAATACTTTAAAGCAGAATTAGTTTTCTAAACTTGCATCAGGTTCAATTGGTTACTAGACCAATCTAATCTATAACACTCTGATGCAGGAGAAGGAAGGTGTGGGAGAGATGGGTTTGAAGCTTGATTTTTTTGAAAGTGATAAAAAGCCCAAGAATTAGTGAGCTAAAAAGAGAGTGAGAGATAAGAGAGGTGATGGTTAAAAAGGGAATTAGGGAACACTCTGCAAATCCATGCGGCATGTTACTACAAGAAACAAGTGAACAGTAAGAAAAATCTGGAAGTAGTTATTAGAAAATTCATTCCAGGGAAAAACTGTATACTCTAGAAAAGGTTTGTTTATTCAATAGTTCTTTCTAGACATGCTTTGAGATATAAACCGAGGCAGAACATTTGGCTTTGACTCCAGTGCACATAGTAGCAGCTCTGGGCATCAGGTCAGGCATTTGCCTGCAGGGCAGAAGTCAGGCTCACAGGTTTGGGTAAATACCATCTGTAAACCAGATTAACAGGGTTCACATAAAAAAACTCTGACCTTCACAGGCAAACACTTTTTTCTCTGCTGAGGCCTTTGCCAGTTTTTGTGTGCTGAACACAGGGTCTATGAACCCACTCAGAGGGTTAGCTTGGTGGGATTTCTGCTCCTGGGTGTTTTTCACTACATTGTACAGCTTGTTGGGGGCCAGGTTGGGTACCTCACTGGGTTCTCAAGGTCAGTGCTTTGAGGCTCTGTAATAAGACTACAGCAACATCAGCATGTCAGCAGGTCTCTTCACAGCATGAAGGACAGTTCTTCTCTGGGATATACTTTTTAATTAACAGGAGGTATCTAGCAGAAAAACCTGACAAGTAAATAGAAGTGCATGATCATTTGTATTTCTAAAACACTACAAACCACTGGTAGCTACACACTGGTAAAAGTACGCACAGGTCTATTAATGCAGGGTTGAACTTTATATCTCAAAGGGCAACTCCATAAAAGCAGGCACTTTCTCCTGACTATTACACTTCGGAAATTCACTGTGAAAATAATAACTCTTTAGATATTTGAGACTCGCATTATTCAGTGGGAGAAAATAAACCTCTTTAAGAGTCCTGTTAGTAGAGATTCATAACTCTTTAGAGATATTACTGATTTCAATATTAATAACACTATTCTGCAAATCTATTTTTCTAATCAGTTTCTGAATCTGTGATCAAAATTTCAAGTCAGGTATTCTTTTTTCAGACCTCATAGTTTTCTAATTCCAGGGAGAGAAGTCTCTAATAACCCTTCTTCAAATCCCTCTTTAGAATCACCTCACGTACAGAAAAAATAAGTGCCTTGTAGAGACTGATAGGCTTAAAGAGTTTTTCCTCTATTAGAGTTGAACAGTATTTAAAACTTTCTTATCTTGATATTACTCTATATCATAGAAAACTTAAAAACTGATCACTCTAATACCAATTTATTAGAAACCAGCAATTTCACTCAGTTTTCTTACACACCCTAAAACATGCATCTTTCTCCTTTTGTTATATGCAAAACTAAAGGTTATTTTTAATCCACCTTTCACTTCATTGACACATCTGCATCATAAGACTCCTGTTTTTGTTTTGGGGTTTTTTAATGCTCTTTCGATGACAGTAAACACAGCTTGAGAGTAGATACTGCCCAAGAGAGGTTTGATCTTCCTGGAATTTATGCAATATGTTATTGGAAAGGGCTGGATACTAATGTGATGAGTGGGCTATAAGAAGAATCTGTGCAGACTAGAAATAGAACTAGCAAATGTGTCAAGTCTCGGACTCTTGGGAAAGGAGCAAGGGTAAAACGATTTGTTCATTTTAACTATTAAGAAATTACTTGAAATGTTTTTTCTTTCTGCTCTGTGCTTGTGCTGTCAAGAAGACTTATGCTGTTATGCAATAAACTGTGTCTGAGGATTCTTGGTTTCATGGGAAACACACAACTATGAGTAAGATCACACATTTGGTCACGGGTTAAACCAAAGGGCAATTTTGCCAACTGCTGTTGGGAAACTGTCAGCAGAAGCTTTAAGAAGGACTTTGAGGGGAAGGGAAATAGCCTCTGCATTGTATCTTCAATACCTCCAATCAGCAGGAATCTGGAAATGTCTCTCTGCACTTAAAAGCCACTCCCATGAATCTGCCCAATTCATGAACCTTTGAATAGATTTATATACATCAGGCAGTGGCTTTTTGGCACCATAGGAAATGTTAAATATCAGTATCATACAAGATAATACGTGTTAAATAACTGAGATAGCTCCTCTTATTCTAGCTCTGTGTTGATATACCTTCTCTGTGTGAGACCCTGATATAAAGTGCCCAGTGGTAATTTTCTACTTGGCAGCATTTGTTTCCATTTTAGATGAACAAGCAATATAAAGGTGTGTGATTGCCCCTCTTTCACCAGGCTACTCGTGTAGAAGGAGAACAAGATTACCAATATTTAGTAAAAGAGGTGCAGGGTAGAAGGTAATAAAATTATAATGGAGCTTGGAAGAGTCCTTGCTTTTCAGCCAGGAACTCCAGGGGAAGGAAATAATCCTTCTTTGGATTTAGTTCATCTTCATGTAGCAGCCAGCAATGGATTGTGAGCTGTGAATAGATTATTTCTTTCCCCTCCCTAAACTTCAGTCACTGTCTTTCACCTCTTCCACATCACATTCATGAAGAGCCGAGGTCCAAGGATTCAGCATTTACAAGGAGGAAGGATAAAGCAGCAAAAGCTATTTATCCCTCCACTTTCAAACTGCAGAGGAGAGTTGGGACCACAAGCCAGAGGTACACCTGCCAGAGTTATCTTTAGGCTAATGCTGTGAAGAGCCAAGGGAGATTACAGTTGGTGGCACATACCCCTGCCCCTCTCCTCCCTCCTAGCCACTGAGCACTTCCCCACCCATCCCAGGTGGGATCTTACTAGCCATCAGTTGCCTTGTTTCTCCACGCTATAGCCCCCTTCCTCAGCCAACAGACCCCTTAACCCAAACCATCCCTGCTCACCGCCCTGGCTGTCACCATGTTTTGGCTACAGGGGAAATCACTCCTCTGAAAAACGAGGCATGAGAGGTGGGGGAGAGCACTTACAATGCTATGAAGTATTTGGATACAACACAGATCAAACTGTACTCTGGGGCCAGCGCTTGCTTTTGGCTGAACTAATATTAAATGAGATCAATTTGGCTTATATTAGCAGAGCTGCTCCAGACTGACACTGGTAGGACCAGAAGTAAAATTCAGGGCCATAATGTTTACTTTTCTGGCTGAAATGATTAATTATTCAGAAACAAGTCTATCACAGGCAGAGCATTTCCTTCAATTAATCCAAACTAACATTTTGTTTAGAGCACAGAGTAAGGCTTTTCCTTTTCGGAGTTCAAAGTGAACCCTGGGGGCTCTAAATATGCCTCCTGGTGACTTTATTAAAAGATAAACATGAATTTTAAAAAAAGAAAAAGTACAGAAAGAAGGAAAAGTTATAATTAAAAAAGCAGTAGCCATGAGGAAAGGAATCCACTATGTAAGAAATGAAGAGGAAGATAGAAGTAATTAACAGAGTGTATGAATTAAGACAAAAAATGGAATGAAAGAAAACAGCTTCTGAATGCAAAGAGGTATAAAAAGTAAACAATGCAAAGTGAATATACTGTTTTGAACACAAAGGTTACATGAGTAAAGTACAGGCCAGATTCACAAGGGCTTGTGGTTGGTTTTGTAGGAGCAGAGCTGTAGTTCCCAAAATGGCTGCTGCTTCCCAGGATGTAGGACTTCAACACATTAAGTCCCACCATATTTTGGGGTAACAAAGCAAGTTCATGACAAGTAGGCTCTCAGCTGAAGAACAGTTGGAAGCCAGTGCCTGACCATGGATAAGAGCAAGCAGTAGCTAAGCTGACGTACATACTAGGTGCATGAAAGCCCTGTTGCTTGGTGTCAACCATACCCTCATAGCAGTAAAAGTGGAGCAGGGTAGATCACAGAAGATAGGAGCTAAAATGGAGAAATGTTATCTGAGGGAAAGCTACAGTGTATGTCCTGATCCCAAAGTCTATCCCTGAGGCACTGCACGTAACGTAGGTCAATGATCACCGTAGGTCTTCAAAACCTACTTGCTGAGTTCCATACGGCTGTACACTAGCAGAGACCATGAATGGCACCAGTCTCACACAAGGGTGCTGAGCCAAGGCCACTGTTGTGCCGCCTGCAGGGCTTGCCCACACCACAACAGCTGTTGCCTGTGCCAGCAGAGGGATGTGAGCAAAGTCCCTCCGTTTCTGCTTCTACTCCCTGGAGAGCTCCAGGTGCTCCATCATGAAAAATTTTCCAGCTACCATATCTCCAGTACTGCAGTGATACTGCTGCTGAGCGGGCCAGCTTCCAGTGCTTTCTGGAATGTAATTATAATTGCCTGTAATTTCAGATTACAACAGAAAATTGTGCTTTTGCTGACGATACAGGTATGAAGTGTTTTCCTAGCTCACGTTCTTTTAACTGCTTAGTGTAAAGATTTGGAAAAAACCTCCAAACCCAACAATACTCAGTTCAGGTCTATTTAAAATCTGAAGTTCTCTTGTTTCATATTGATCACTAAGTGTTCACAAAAAAACTGTTCCACTTAGCATCTTCCCAAGGGTACAACTCCCTCATGTCCTGTATCTTTTTTTACCCAGTCTCCAGGCCCTAGAGAATTGTTTTATCTTTACTTTGCAAGAATGATACTGGTCCAAAAGGGACAATTTTCACACCAGTGATAGTAACAACTATAGATTCAGTCTGAGTTCAAGAGGGTATGATGGAAATAAGTTTTGTCTTCCTGCATAATATTTTATGCTGGTTGAACTAAACAATGAATTGCAATTTAAAACTAAAAATAGAAGAGAATGGATATACTGTCAATATTAAATTGCAGTGTAAGCCCCTGCCATTGAATTAATCCCTTTAATTACATTCACTAATTTTTAAGGATGGTGGTTTTCCATCCATTCTCATGGCTACTGAAGACATTCACTATATCCAAAGCACAATGTTGAGCTCTGCTGGGAGTGTTCGTTTTTGAGATTAGCTGCTTTAAATACAACATGAGTAAAATAAAGGGGTCTTGATGAGAAAGCTGGTGTATTTTTGGTCCTGTTAACTATCCACTGACTATATAGTCTATAATAGCTTTTGGATTAGGTCATTTAGCAAGATGATTTTCTGATCATTTCCCATAGTAAGAGATGTTTCTTATAGAAATGCAATAAAACTTAATAATAGGAAAGCCCACCTAGCTGAACATTCCCTTCTCTAAAGCATTCTTCCACAAGGGCACTCATAGCTTCCATTAACACCAGGGGAAGTTAAACACATATGGATACAACTATATGGCCTGAAGAACTGTAACATGCATCTACACCCACACATACACAAGAATATACACTCTTCACACCTCCACCCAGGAAATGGAAATTTAGCAGCACAAGGATATTAAAAATTATAACTGATGTTGTCAGGAACTGCAGACAATATTTAATTCTCCAGCTCTTGGAAGAGAGGATTAGGAAACAGTTTTATAACTTGGGTGGGGAGAAACTGGAGGATTGAAATAAAGATTCTGGGCTGATGAAACAGCTCAGCATTTCTGAGTTCCTGTCTTGCTGGTTGTGATGTGGCTCCTCTCACAAGTATCGCAGCTGAAGCTCAGGAAAGCAGCAGTAAGTCTTGAAGT